AAATTTCGTTCGTACTATTTATCTCGTTTTTTAACGAGATAAATTTTATGGGCAACATGTATCTTTTTTGTGATCTTTTTTTATATGAACCTTACCGGTATATTATAAGCATGTGTATTGCGGAGTATGTAGATGCACAGCTTTTCTTTCTTAATGAGTTTGATGTGTTTTTCATCTCCATTGCCGTTTTTTTGCTGGATAAACAAGCCTGACCCCATTCTTAATAACGCGTGCAAGGACTTAGTAACCTCTTGCTGTGAAGCCAGGCGATGGCTAAAAGAATTTAAACATTTATAAAATGCTAGCAATTGCTACTGGATTATTTCTGCAAAGTAAATTGTATATCTGTACTGTGAGCGCACGCACGCACGCACGCATGCACGCACGTACACACACACATATTGTTCTGATAATGCATGTCATAATGTCAATAACTTATGGCATGCATAAAATACATAAAAGTGCTTCTTTATCAGCATGCAACTGCCAAATTTACCATTCAAATCTAGCCAATCATAAGCCAATCGCCATTCAACAAAAACAATGCATTCGTCGATTTTTCCCCACCAGCTGGTAGTGTTACGCTGGAATGTGTTAACCACGTTTCAATGTAAACACTGAGGTATTTGTATGTTTTGCTAGGCAGCTGACGCGACGGAGGCAATATGGAGAGGTTGCCATGCTGCTGCAAGGCGTTCTCAACGTGTTGCAGCATTTTAGCAAATACATGACCATCCAACAGATCAGACATCTAGCTGACAGGTGAAACAACCTATAATGACGTATAAACGAATCTATGGCAATGGTCATCCATTACTTGCATATGAGGAATATTGCTTTGAGGTCTGCTTGGGGCCACCATTACCATATATATCGTTTGCTATAATCCACGATACCTGTTTACGCTGTGCCTTTATTTATATTTCATCACTATACTATGTAATCAGCAAATAAATTTCATTTTCTTGCCTTCCTACTTACCCACCTACAATTGAGAGCCATTGTGGTTGGTCTTGTGCAAGACTCTGTTTAATCAAGTGCATGTTTGTGTGTGCAGAGTGCATCAGATAAAGCAGGATCTTGGAAATCAGATCGTGGGTGACTTTGAGGAAGCATTCTCGGGTCCTGCCGCTAAGGTAGGATAGATTTTACCTAGCGCAAGTCAGCCACATGTAGCTGCATTTCACTCCACATCTGTTTGATTATGTTTAGTCTCATTGCATAATTTGACATTGATAAAATGTGATGGATATGGAAAAAGATGGGGAAAGCGTAAGATGAAGAGGAAAATGTAATGTTCCACAATATAATTTAAAATGCTTCTTCTAATGCTTAACTCTTTGTCTGCAGCATTTTACCCCAAATAACCAGTTGGCAGAAGCATGCTTAGTCCTGAACGTGCTGGATCCAAAAATCAAGTAGGTGTCTGTATGAAAATACAGTGGTGCAAATATTCATGCAGTGCAATATTCAGCTTGATATTGTAGGTGAAACATTACCAGGTTTGTTGAGCTAAAGTAATACTTTTATCTTTGCCTTATAGAAAAGATCTGTTGAAGTGGTTTGTGCGTCTGCAACTGTCAGAATATCTCGTTCTGTTTCAAGGTAAGAATTGCATGTGGGTGTGTCAAACTTGTGATCTGTGTAGCAGCCCTGTCTGAAACTTCATATCACATACAGAGCCATCTAGTGAACAAAAAGTTAATTGTTTCCATAAGAATGTCAAAGAATGCTCAAATGTGATTTATCATATATATTTTTAATGCTCTTTATTTTGATCTGATCTTAATGTAGAATTGTTGACTACAGACTGAATATTAATATATAAAATTGCTTTGTAGAGAATCAAGATGTGGCATGGTTGGACAAAATTGATAGGCGCTACGCGTGGATTAAACGTACCCTGGTTGAGTTTGAGGAGAAATTCGGCAGGATGTTTCCATGCAATTGGTTTATAAGTGAGCGCATAGCTGTTGAATTCTGCGAAATTACCAGGTTTGTTTGATGTGTGTGTACGTTCTAATTACTAGTTCAATAAATTCATATATGTACAGTACAATATAACAGTCAATTGCTAACAAGGTCTGCTTCCCTGTCAGTACAGTTGAATAAACATTAAAAATATACTTCAGCAAATAATTGGATTTCAGTGTTGATTTCATACTGGGTTATATGTGGTACTATTTACAGAGCAGTACTCACAGAATGTATTATTATGACATTGTATGCTATGGTATTAAAAATGACTATATAGTTGACTCTTTATGATTTTATAGGAAAGAGTTATCAAATATCTCGGCTGCAAGAGTGTCAGAAATCGATGTGAAACTGCTGCTGTTTGCCATTCAGAGAACGACCAACTTTGAGATTCTTCTTGGCAAAAGGTTTAGTGGTTCCACATTGCAACCAGCAGGACAGGTAGACATATTGTAATCTTAGTGTAAATATTAATGGTGCAACGACACATTATGTTTCGGTTTTCGGGTTTTGCTCTTCGGTTTGGTTCATTTGGTTCAGATATTTTCAGTAGTAAAAAATTAAAAATGATGAGAAGATGGGGAAATTTTCCCTCTATTTTGAATAATAATAATAATACTTATCATAATATTATACATTTATTGTGTTATTCATTGGCCAAAAGACAATAAAGTAATACAGTTCAAGGATAATAGTCATAATACTATTCATTAAAGTGATCTAAAGTGTTCGCTCACCGTGTGCGCCTCGGGGAGTGAAAAAGTTTTAGCCGAAATGCAGCGAATTTCCTTCAAAAGGTTTTCCATGCTTGAGTGGTCGTTGGCGATACTATCCACAAGAGGGGAGGGAGTAAGGAAGTGTATAGTGCCCCCCCAACTGAGAGTGGGTTGAATGTATTTCCCAGAACCGAACCGAGAACCGAAACAAAAATAAAATACCGAAAACCGAACCGAACGGGATGTACCGCCGCGATACAGTTGAATCGCGGTTAATTGTTACACGCCTAGTAAATATATAGAATTGGCAAAGTTTGATTGTATTGGTTTATTGCTGCTGTAATCGCTTGACAAACTGCACATAAATCATCACATGATTGCGTTTATCACCACCAGGTTTCGCCAGTGTTGAGCCCCGGTACTCCCGACTCAACAAACCCATTTGGAGAGGATGCGGATCGAGATTCTCTTGGCCTGGATGCAAAAGTAATTTGCTGTGATGTATATACCTGGTTACATAAATAGAGACAAACAATAAGTTATGTGTAAAGAGGAGAACAGTAGTTAGACAGAGACAAATAGAGAAAGAGAGAGAGAAGAGAGAGAGGAGAGAGAGAGAGAGAGAGGGGAGGAGATGGAGAGAGAGCAGAGAGTAAGAGAGAGGAGAGAGAGAAGAGAGAGAGAGAGAGAGAGAGGAGAGAGAGATAGCGAGAGAGAAGAGAGAGAGAGCAGATAGAGAGAGAGAGAGAGAGAGAGAAGAGAGAGAGAGAGAGAGAGAGAAGAAGAGAGAGAGAGAGAGAGAGAGAAGAGAGAGAAGAGAGAGAGAGAGAGAGAGAGAGAGAGAGAGAGAGAGAGATGAGAGAGAGAAGAGGAGAGAGAGAGAGAAGAGAAGAGAGAGAAAGAGAGAGAGAGAGAGAGGATGAGAGAGAGAGCGAGAGAGAGAGAGAAGAGAGAAGAGAGACAGGAGAGAGAGAGAGAGAGAGACGAGAGGAAAGAGAGAGAGAGAAGAAGAGAGAGAGAGAGAGAGAGAGAGATGAGAGAGAGAGAGAAGAGATGACGAGAGAGAGAGAGAGAGAGAAGAGAGAGAGAGAGAGAGAGAGAGAAGAAAGAGAGAAGACGAAAGGAGAGAGAGAGAAGCGAGAGAGAGAGAGAGAGAAGAGAGAATGAGAGAAGTAGAGAGAGAAGAGAGAGCTAGACCTACCGAGAGCGAGAGAGAGAGAGAGAGAGGCCTAAGACCACCGAGAGCGCGAGAGGAGGATAAGAGAGAGAGGCAAAAAGCTTGCTAAGAGACAAGCAGCGAGACCAGGAGAGTTGGTTGTTAGCAGCCACACATAACAGAGATTAAATTCTCCCCGTTGAATTATGTTTGGTTATATTTCAGCGTTCTGCCGGTAGCATGCAGCAGTTGCTAGATAAGACATCTGCTCTTTCTGGTGCTTAATCAGCATTAATGTTTTAGCCACACCTCAACATTTATGTGAGTCGCAAAGACAGGTACTGTGTGTGTGAGAGAGAGGTTATATATTATTACCTATCAAATCATAATATCCATAACGTTAACCTAAAAAACGTTCAGGCTAACTACTGTTGCAGCTTGTTTTTGTGGGGTTTACCATTTGATAAATTCCATTCTCGCAAATCTTTCAAGGTAAAAGATGCATGTTCGCTGCTCATGATTACTGTTTTATAGCCTATAACAGCAGAAACTCAAAATAATTTATGCTGAAGTAATCGGTAGTATGTATGGCTGAATGCTGACATGTGACAGATTTATTGATTTCTCAATTAATTGAAATATATTTTGAGAGATGATCAATTATTTTAACTGTCTTGTTTTAACGTGTAGGAAACATGGCGGATCTAATAAATCGCTTTGTGGAGGATTTCCGCACGCAGGGTGTGCCGCTGAACATCGGACGATGCAGTGTTGTGTTGCAGTCTTGCAGACCTGTTTGTTTATTACAAGAAGTTGCATGTGCAGTGCTCTCTACTCAGTAATCAAGGTTACTGATACTCTCTTCACTGCGTTGTTTGGAGGAGGGTTCCTGTTTACGATCCTAGAATGAAATTAGACTTATTAGTAATTTTTTCCCTAGATATATGACAGAATAATTATCTAATATCAACATGTAATTATATAGTTCTAGGTTTTAGTCCTAATTTGGTTCATTTTAATTAGTCCGTCTTTGATCTGCAACAGACCACAGGTCTCTACAAATAAGCACTGTGTGTGCATGCATGCATGCATGCGTGTGTGTGTGTTGTGTGTGTGTGTGTGTGTGTTGTGCGCGCCGCATGCGTGTGTGTGTGTGCGCGCGCATGCGTGCGTGCGTGAGTTACATTATACTGACAATTCTGTACACTTTGTTTTACATTTTACGGTTTTTACTTGTTTACGTTTTTGCATTACTATGTCTGCTGACTACTGCAGTAGGCCTACAGATACATGATGTCTCTTCATGAAGACAAATTGTTCTGAAATAAACAGTGAGAATGGATATTTTGAGGTCTTACAAATCTACACGTACAGTACATTCAGTGGTGATCTTGCAGGAGTGTTTCATTGTTATTCATCTGGTGTTTTGATGGTTTTCGCAGGTCAGCCGATGTTAGCTCTTGCTTCAACATTCAAAAGTATCTCAAAGAGTATGCAATTAGGCTCTCAGCAATAATCTACCAAAGTACGTAAAGCTATCAACTGTAATAGTTTCAAGAGCTAATAATACCTAGAGTGTACAACGAAAAAACGGGAAAATAGTGCTATTTCACGACAACATTATTCTACTTTGCCTGCGAGTCTAGAATAATTTTATGGTATTGCATTAAGCAGAATTCTTTGCTCTCTAAAACAAGACCAACCGCTTGTCAATACGATACTCCTAGGCTGAGATATTGGCTCCTAAACCTCCCTCCCACATGCTTACCCGCCGCTCGCATCCAGCTTATTCACCAACCTACACGCCTCTAAGGTTGCTTCGTGAGAGTTCGGTTTTTTCCGCGATAACTTTATGAATGAACAGCGTTTCGGTGACTTTCGGGGCATCGCCTATGCCTTATCTCCCATTATCTTTCTAGCACGGCTAATGCCCGTCATGATGGAGGCCGCAATGTTTCTTAATTAATTCTCCACAACGCAGCTCAGTTACTATATGGTGTAGTAAGAGTACCAAATTTGGCATGTGACATCAATTATCAGCCGCTCCAAGCGGTGACGGAAACCGATAGCCAAAATGTTTAGGGCGTGTAGGTTGGTGAATAAGCTGGATGCGAGCGGCGTAAGGCATGTGGAGGAGAGGTTTAGCAGCCAATATCTCAGCCTAGGAGTATCGTATTGACAAGCGGTTGATCTTGTTTTAGAGAGCAAAGAATTCCAATTAATGCAATACCATAAAATTATTCTAGACTCGCAGGCAAAGTAGAATAAGTTGTCGTGAAATAGCACTATTTTCCGTTTTTTCGTTGTACACTCTAGGTATTATTAGCTCTTGATAGTTTCTATAGTCATCTGCAATAATGGTGCGCGTGCTTTAATATCTCTTACCCTGATTTTAAGAGAATTACATCGTATCTGTTGCCCAATGCCACTCTTAAAAGATATACTGTTTGCAATAAATTGCCCAGGAATCGTAAGGCTAGAAAGGTGTATGCTAACACCGGCTCGATTGTACTAATACTACGATAAACATCGCTTCAGAGTAGCCAGATTTACTAGAACAATCACCTGTCTAGAAAGGCCACAACATTTCCCTTGAGGGCCAAATGTACGGCAAAACCACCTCTATAGAACAGCCACTTGTCTGCAAAGGCCACTTTTGCCGGTTTCCTCGAGTAGCCATTATACACAGATTCGACTGTTTCACGGAGTTGTTCTAACCGCGCACCTGGGCGGCTTGCAGGCTGTCTGTACCGACCAGCATCAGTGGCGGTGGCATCAAGGAGCTTCAGACGATGGTGTCCACGCTACTGAAGGAGGGAGACGTGCCAAAGTACACGCCGGAAGAGCAGCGACGCACATGCGTAATCCTCAGTACGTCCGAGTACTGCCTCGAGACAACACAGCAGGTATGAGGCAACTTGGTCTTTAGTCTACAGCTGAAAAGTTGTGATGTGCAACTTTGAAAGCAGATGGGCTAGTAGTGGCGTCACCATCATTGTAAGCAACGATAAGAGCCGTTAGTTTTGAAACATTTAAAAAAAATATTTCTAATGAATATTTAACAATGAAATTTTTTATGTAGTGTAATTTAAACCTATTTTAACTGAAAATATGCAAGGAAAATAGGGGCATGTATCCCTTTAAGTCCTCCTAAAATCCATAATGTATCTACCCAAACTAGTGTTCTATGCGAGCATTTTGTGCTTAAAAATATTTTGATCAGATACAACCAACAAAAATGCCTCCTTAGTCAAACCTCACGTTGTTTACATCGGCAAAAGCATTCCACCCTCGTGTGTGAAGTAATACTGACATAGCTGTTCTGTGTGTGTGAGTCGACTTCTGTGTGTGTAAACCTGTGTGTTGTTAGGGCATCCAATATGGTACGTAATTAAGCCGATAATCTCATAATTTTGCTAATATCTTAACGAATGTAGGTTATGACATCATTCTATATTGCAGCTGTATATTAAATGTTTTCCAGTTGGAAGAGAAACTGAAGGAGAAGATAAATGCAGATCTAGCCGAAAATATCAGCTTCAACTCGGAACAGGACATCTTTCACACGTACGTACACTATAGACATGAATCGCAGCATTGCGCACGAACACTGATCTAACCCATGCGTTCTGATAGGACATATAGGCAGGTTTACTATGCTCGATGTTTCATCAGTATACTACTTTTCCGTAGTGTGATATCAAACTGCATTACAGCTGCTAGTGCAGTGATTTGGAAGGAGCCTGTGATCCCGCTCTGAACTGCTAGAGCAGTAAGGGTAGTAATCTGTCTCATACTTGTATAATTATTCATTATTTCAGTCTGTTCAGGGTATACGTTGACCTGTTGAACGTTACTTGTTCAGGGTACACGTTCGGTACAAGTCAGTTTGTTGCGTTTGCTGGTTTGCAAGATCAACTGCTCCAGTTGACACTGTGGGGATCAGAGTGGCTACGTGACTGCGATTACATCCCATATCAACAAAAACGCCTGCTCTCATACGTGACAACCTGGCCTCGTCTCGCAAATATTTTACCCAGTTCTGTGTTAAGTTTGCAAGTGAGTAAGCTTGAATGTAATTGGATATAGACACAATCTAGTTAAACTTCAAATTATTTTCCATCATCTCATGTCCCTCTTATCGTGAGACAAATATAACCAATATAACATTTTAAAAACAACGAATATATGACACAGGTTTCCTCAGTTTTCAAGCAGTGCTGCAAGGTGACAACTAACTGTCCACAGATACTAGCAAATTTGCACGGCAAATTACAGTTCCATACATTGTGATCAGAAAGAAATTTATTCCCAAAAACTTCTTTACTCAAAAAAATCTTCGACCCTTTGACCTACTACTGTCAAATGCTGGTTTCATATCCGCTAGCATCGTTGTGAATATTAGTGCTGTCACTGACTGAATCTATGTTCTGACCACTCTTGTTCTTGTTGCTGACATTCTCCCTCTCCTGTTTCGCATGCGAACAGTCACTTTTTTGTAGCTTCCTCACAATTACTTACTTACTTAATTACTTATCCTCTTGGTCCCCCGATGGACATAAGGCCATTAATCGTGATCGTTAAAATTTTATCGTTAATATCGCTCACATTAACGTCTATCTATTTCGTTTCTCTCACTTAGTTCGTTCATTCCGAAGTTCATTAATCAGCTGCACAAGTGTAAGCCGTGAGCACAGTGGGAGCCGAGCAGCTACTACTAGACACACACTCGCTGAAGACTGTTCTGCTCGACCTGCCTCTATTGGCTCGTCGTCGCCGCAAAGCTCCCGCCAGGTGTGGCACAAGTGCATCGCCGCGCAGTCAGAAGTAGTGATTCCCCACAATCGTGATAGTTCCCAGCGGATACGATTTCTGCTTTTAATTTCAGTTTATTTAAAAAAAATATATCATAGTTAGCTTGTTTTTTTTTAAATTTCTGCTAATTAACGTAATTCAATTAATTTGAACATTTAAACGTTACGTGAAACAAAGTAGTGTGCTGTACTGCATCTGTTGTCATCGTGTGTGGACTGAATCGTGCCCCTCCTGCAGATCCCACTATGCTTCACACACATACATGTTGTTCGCACACAGCTACACAAAGATCGTTGTCAGGGCATGACGAAGCGCTGAGATGATATTAAAAGGTTGTGATGTCGCCGCACGACCCGCCTAGGCCTTCGCTTTGATAACTACATCAAGCTGCTGCCGGAGAGTGGA